ATTTTATCTTGTACATATTGTAAATATTTTAGCATGTTAACCAATCTTAGTATTTTTAGCTCAATTAGCATTTTAACTTTAATTAATATATGGATTTAGTCATTTTTAATTTATTTTGTAGTGTCCCCATTTAGTGGTTATGTACTGCTATTTTAGTCTGACACTTAAATAAAGGTATTCATTCATTCATTCATAACAACAGCTCACAGATGACACACACAGGCATGACGGGTACCTATATACTAGTGCACAAATCAGGCTGGTACTAACCAATCAGGCTCTAGAATATTGTCATAGTTTTGTTTGTCATTATTGTTATTATTATTATTATTATTATTATTATTCATGTACATATTTATAAGGGAACCAGAATTTTTTTTGTTATTATAGACTATTACATTGTATTTCTAGCTAGAGTGTGCAAATAATTTTGTTAGTGATTAAGAATTTAATCAGTGATTAGGGGGAAAGCTTGTTTTAGAAGGGAAAATAGAAACTTATCCAGGCACGGCATTTTGAAGGTCAGTTACTTAACATGTAATAGCCTTACTTTTCCACACAAATTATATTTTAGGATCATAGCTAAGTTAGGGTATGTTACAACGAGTCTCACCTTTGCCATACCCGGTAAAATGGCCTGGGCATTGTTAGCTAAATGTGCTGATGTAACAGACTCAACCATTCGCTAACCTGACAATAGGTTATCTTTAACCCGCGGAACTGAAAATTGATAATTCACTTGAATTAACACAATAGTTAAGCCCCCGGGGTATCCAATCGATGGAAATCGATGATCGGAAAACCAATCGATCAATCGATATCAATCGATAAAATTAGTTAATTCCATCGATTGGATACCCCGGGTTAAGCCGCACCGTGAGTTTGAACGCTGCCAAAACACTTTTGACGTGAAACAAGCTCGAATAAAAAATCTCTTAGCGTTCATTGAAAGTGTACGAAAGAGGAAAGATTTTTGCATAACCCCATACTCTTCTCAAACAAAGCCGTATGATAGTCACAAAGGCAATCCATTGTTTCCGCCATTGCGTTCATACAAGAACTGTATGGTAAACGCAGAATTGAACCGTGCGGAACTCTGGCGCTGCATCCTTCTCGCTAGAAATCGCCTGTTAGCCTATTTACGTTCAACTACCGAACCTCTTATATTTGGTATTTTTTTAATACGTTATGTAAATAAAAAGATAAACACAAATATTTTGGGCATCGGAATCGAACGCGCCATAATTTTGCATTGTTTCACTGCGCGGTTTTAGAAGGGATAACAACTAACGATTGTTGGAAAAAAAGAACGTCAAATTATTACTACAAAAATGTGGTTTGCATAACACTTACCCTTAAGACCTTAGTGTCGAGTAAAGAACCGTAATTTTTCGAAGCTACTACGTATTAGAGGAAATATTGTAGTCGAAATTAATGGTAGTACTTTGCGCCCCCAAAAACAAGTACCTGGCTCTCCCTCTCCTCCCTAAATCGAAGGCACCGGAAGTCACTGATAGGTCTGACAAATTATTCGTGCCAGACCCCTCAAAACTTCTGGCCGGTGTAACAGTGTCTTGAGTAACAGGGCTGAATAACGTCTGCGCATGTACGAGATCTCTTGGCTCGCGCTTGCGCCAATGGCCTGGACACCATAACAAACTTCGAAAAAATGGCGGCGTTTTTAAAAAGTTTCGTATAGCGCCCGGTTTTTAGTGAAAAGGTAGCGCCAAACTGAAAACGGTAGAAAGAAATCTTTACGCTAGTTCCCTAGTTCATTGACCAGCACATACACTTTTGCACACTGAGGTTTAAAGGTTGTACACTTAATGAAAACAGCGCGTCAACACGATAGATTTATCGAAGACTTAGCAGTTGACATCTTACGCGGTGTTTTGGATGTTATCGACGTCCATCCTATTGTTGTTTAGTTCCCATGCAAAGCCCAATGAGCGAACCTGCAGGTTTATTAAGAGAACACGAGCTGGAGAAACATGCCAAGGTCGATTGAGGCGGTTTGACGAGGCCATTGCTCGGTTTGTGGACGGAAATTTAAATTGCTGGGCTTGCATTGGATTAGAGCAACTCGGGAAGCCAAATTTGTTTGTTTGTTTATTTGCCAATTTGGCCCACCAAAAAACCAGACTGCATAATTGCTACTTTGTTATCACAAAAAATCGTTCCAGAACAATACCAAAATATTTTATCATGTATCTGCTAAATAAATTGACCCTGAATTTAAGAAAATCTAATTTCGTCATATTTTCACCTGCTCGAAGAAAATTTACTTATCAACCTAAAATTATGATGTTTGATAACGAGCAGAATAAAAATGTAGCTTTAGAATGTAAGGAATTTATAAAATACATAGGGATACTTATTGATAATCATCTAACTTGGAAACATCATATTGATCATATAACAATTAAAATAAGTCGAACCATTGGTCTAATATCTAAACTACGGCATTTTGTTCCAAAACACACTCTTATAAATATCTATAGATCTCTTGTTGCACCTTATCTGAGCTATGGGCTAATAGTTTAGGGCCAGGCATGTAAATTATGACTTGATAAGCTTCTAAAGCTGCAAAAATGAGCTCTACGTTTTATCCATTTTTCTGACCGCAATCAGCATGCAATTCCTCTATTTTCCGATGCTGTTATTTTACCGCTACAATTTTCTTATTACGAGCTTACAGCTAACCTGATATTTGATACTAGACACAAAAACGTGCCTAGAAGTATTCGAGACCTGTTTCAAGACATTTCTAATATTCACCCCTATAATACCCGATCCTCTGCTTCGCACAACTACACAAAAAGCTCTAGGCTCTCTATTCAATTGAACTCGTTTTCTAGAATTGGAACAAAAATTTGAAACGAGATGCCTTTAAAGTCAAATGTTGTACAATGGTGTAAAAAAGGCTATTGATAAATAGATTTAAATCAAGTTAAAGTCACTAGATTCTTACAAATGATAACCATAGGGAATTTATTGATAATAGGCAAAGTTATCTCTGCTTTCCTAGTAGCCATCTATTTAAAAACTAACTGCCAGATTATGGTTTGAGTATCTACAATATATTATTTAAAGCAATACTTTTCTGCTAGGTCTTTTCGCTGTACCATATCATGGACTAATGCATCATGCAAAGTCTTATAGTCTGCAGCTTCCCCATTGTTTGTTTTCCACAATCTCAGCATTTGATGTCCTCTTTGAGACAAAGTTCTATATCGTTCGTCAATTTCTTCAATTTCATCTTCCTTAATTTTCAGTCGACGAGCCAGTCGATCCCACTTACTACCAATAGCTTTGCCAAGTGTTTGTAGGTCATCATCACTTACTGGCTCCTCTTAAATACAAACACAAATTAAGAATTAATATTATCTACGTGCTAAAGATTACTAGCTTACCTGTTACTTATCTACCAATCAATTCAAAACTTCAACATCCCCCCCCCCCAGCAACCCCCAGGCATTCAACCATTGCTTGTGCTTGGGAAATATGAACCTTGCCTGCTGGTTGGGGTGGGGTACTTGAACCAGGAAGCATCAAGTTTTTTTAGTGGAATACAAGTGATATAACTTTAGAATGGGAGGTGTTTTAAGGTAAATAGTTCACTTTTTGCCAAGGGGATTGCTTGTGAGATTGGCCTGGGAAGGGGCGGTGGATTTTGAAGCTTGAATTGATTGATGTCTTATTGTAACTCAATGAAAATTTTAAAATCATTTATTACCAATAATTTTTTTTTTGGGGGGGGGGAGAGCCAAGTGTTTTTTTTTATGTCATGCCAGAGGAGGCAGGGTGGCCTAGTGGTTAAGATGCTGGGCTTGTAATCTGGTGGTCCTGGGTTCAAGCCCTCCACCTTGCTTTTTACAGGATATCCTTAAATTGTTCCCAGACTTCTACTCCTTCATTGTGCATTGTATATAGCCGACTGTGCTCTATTCATGTCAGTTGTGGTTTTAACACACAGCATTTATTTACAATGTTTGGGACCAGATTGTTTGTATTGTCCCTGAGAAGAGCCACATTAGGGGAGACTGGTCATATAAATGCACACACATTCCTCCTGCTACCAGGTGTAATACTTTGAATCAAACTGATCTGAGTTAATTTGTGTTTTGACAGCTAATTGCTAGATGTAGCCCATTGTGAGTCAATAACAATTCATCACCAACAAACTTTATTTGGGAGAAAGATTGAAGTTCTTTAATTCTGCAAAAAAAAATTTACCTGAACAATCCATAATTATATCATGCCATCGAATAGTAAGATGCACAGTGCATGTAGTAGTTACAAGTCATTTCGAAAATTAATGAACTTAAAATGTAACTTTTCTTACATCCTTACCTTTCATAATCTTCTTTTTGTTACTGGTGCTGGATACCCCAGAAGTTTCAGGTTCTACAGCAGGCTCAAGTTTAGGTTTTTTGGCAGCTGAGCCATTTTCCTCTACTTGCTTAACTTCAGTGGAATGAGAAGATAGTATGTAAGTGAGAGAGACAAAAAAGGTGTGGGTAAAGTAATTCACTATTTAATTTGTGTGCTTGTATTTCCTCCTGTGCTAACTAGTTTGTCAAAGAACTGAAGTTTAAAGAGATTTAGCCGACAGAACAGGACGGTGTAATTTTTTTCTGTTTTTCAGGCAGAGGGAGACAAATTTAAGTGCTAGGCAAAGGCAATCAATCAGTCATGTACAGGGTAGAAGCACAAATAATAATTCCTCCCCTTCACTCCTTCCCTTGAATTTATGCTTGGGTCACATTTGCCTCAATTCTACTGAAAATGCAAAAAAAAAAACTACTCCTGTTATGTAGGCTAAAAGAGACTAATTGTGGATTTAGTATGGGTCCTGGCATAGCAGGCTCAGACAATAAGTGACTCATTTTTATATTCTTAAATCAAGTTTACCCAATAACTTCCATGAGCTGAAAACAGCACACTACTCTCAGGTCAGCTGCTGTGTATTGTCACAAGAGCATGCTTACACAGAACATCGTTGCTTCTTCATAACAGCTGGCATCTTTGAGTTCTTTATGCAGTTTAGTGGCTGTCTACTTCCAGTAGTTTCTAATGGTTGTTTCGGTTATCAAGCCCTCTCCCAATTCCCACCATTCCTCCCTTTTTCTTTCGCATATCCAGACAATGTTCGGAGTGGTATTCCTAACTGGATGATGTAGTCATTGCTGTTAAAATTTAGAAGGCCTTCAAGCACTCTTCTGTACAAGAATAGTTCTCATTTGACAACTTATTTCACAATTCCATTCTTGGTTTCCATGAAACAAAAATTACACAAATATTATCTGGACATACCTTTATGCTTTTGAGAAGGTGATTGGAAATCCTCTTTATTTGGGTTGTCCTTCCCTTGTAGACCCTCTCTGACTTCTGTCAAGAGAAGAACTTTTTATGATTAAAAGTGCTTAAACATATTGTTAGGAACTAGTCTCTTCCAGTGATACTAATACAGTCTGCAATATTTGGAGTGATGATTAAATGTACGTGCATGAACAAAGGTTAACATTTTGTAAAGCTTGAGAAGCAAACTTTGGGCTTGAGAGGTCAATTTGCCAGAAATTGGTAAGTAAATTAACAGTTCCAATTTACATGTTTAGTAAGTTGCCAAGAATGTCTTGGATGTATTGCATTAGATAATGGTCTGTAAACATTCACAAAGCACTCACCAGGTTTCTCAGTGCCCTCTTTTTCTGCTTTCCTTTCTCCATGGGATTCAACTTCAGGATTAGGATTTACAAATGTAATTTTCTTTGTCTCTACCATAGTACTTTCTTTCCTGAAAAAGCAATATGTTATTGCATCACAGAGAAAACCATTTTGTTTTCTCAAAATATGGCTGGTACTCATTAAGACTATTAAATAAGAGGTTTTACCTTTTTGCTAACCCTGGAGGTTAATGCATTGTGATAATGGATAAACAACAATCATGAACAAAATAAAATACTCTATAACAAGAACTCATAAAATATACTGAACCTTGCATAAGAATGTAACATTTTTAAACAAACAAAAAAAATCCACATGAAGTGAATGATCCTCTATTTTGATTCTGAGCAATGTGTATTTTGTAAGAGATTAGTATCTAGTAAACTCTATGAACACTCATAACTTTTCAAAATTTTCCTGTAAAGGATGCTTAGCTTATCTAGAAATTAATAGAGAACTCAATAATACTTTGAACTGCAGAGTGAAGATATTAATTCAGGTGAGAAGATTTTCACACTGTCAGAAACATAACAGAATATTAACCCTCTGATCCTTTTTGATTTTATGAAGCATATATATAATTTCTCTTTACATTATCACCCCTAAATCACACATTAAGGTCAGGAGAATAAAGGAAATGATCACCAACTAAAGAAGCTCTTGGTTGTCAAACATATCCTTCTAGTCACTACCTAATGGAGAATTTGTTGTATGTGGAACAGTATGGAGAATATGCACACTGATGTTAGGGTGTAATTACTATATATTAATAAAGGGTTAAGCAAATATGTAAAAACGTGTTTATTTGACTGCCTACAAAAATGATTGCCTGTTGGGGTATGCAGGGAGAGTTGATAATCACCTGACTTACTGACCACTACACTTCAGCTGTCAACTTAAGACAATTTATTTACCTCACTTCAATTGAAGCCACATTGGAAGTTTCTTTTGTGAGGGTTAAATTCAGTTTGGCATCATATCCAATATTTCTGAACTCTTTCTCCGTGGCATCTTTAACTTTCCCATCCTCAAAGTCTTTCTCAAACTTTAAAAATTGCTCCTTTGATCCAAAATTCAAATCAACATTAAGTGACCCAGGGCTGACTTGACCGATTACTGCACCCCAAGGTTTAAAAACCAGTTGTAGTGCACTTTTAACAATTTCTGGGTTTTCCTTAAAAAATGATGCCAAGCTCTTCACCGTGTAAATTGCAGCAATCATCGTTATTCTAGCTGTCCAAGGATCATTGATGGAAATCTCAGTCCCTCCAGCTGTCCTAACGCTCAGAGCAGAACCACTAGTACCAGGTCTTTCTTCATTACCTTCATCTCTTTCGGCTTGATCTGCCATTTTTTAACACCTGACAATCGAAAAGACAAGAAATATCAATTCAGATTAGATTTTTAAGAACATCTACACAGCTTTTCCCCGGACTACCCTTTCTGTGTTTTGTAACAAGGAGTGAAATTAGGGCGCCTCTTGTAAGCATATATGTAAGTATGTTTGGGAAAAATAATGTTTACATTGCATCTACCAAATGAACATGATTTTACTAAAAAGCAATCGATGCCCCTTTCACCCCATTCCCCTCCATCAAATCATGCTGCTCTTGCAAAAACGATGGAAAAATCAAGAATCTGTCTCCCGCTGTGTGATACCCGCAATCTTCTTTGATTTTACAGATAGTAGCGTTAGGCTACGGGTAAATTTACAGATAGGGTTTAGATACGAAGTCAATAGGAGCCCTTGCTAGAGAAGACACTTCAGAGCAGTAGAAGCAAGTTTATAAGCATCTGATACTAAGTCGTAATTTCTCGCGTGTGAATTTCATCCAAAGGATCATATTACGATACAACTGTTAAAGCGGAAGTAACATTCAAAGTACAAAATAGCCATGGCGCTGCGGGGTGAAATTCGAAAACAAGTTCCAACTTAAAAGCTTAAAACTGAAGCACTTTGAGCCATTCTTCTGCCAATAATACTTATCAAACCGAAATTGTTGCTGTCTGTTATCCTAACAGCATATTGTTATCGAATAATTAATTCTGCAGGTGTGACTGGATTAATATTTTCTTTATTCAGTTGAGTAGCACAATCAACAGAGTAGAGGCGGCAGATAAATGGCATGCCTATTGTAGATACGTTTTGATATTGTTGTTACCTACTTACCTCGTCCAAAAGCAAAAAGTTCGCAATAGTAAATCCCGGCTCCTCGAAAGTTGATCTTTGCCGTCGCTATGGCAGGAGGACAATAGAACATCAATCCCATAAGACCTAGCGCTATTTATTAAAAAAAAAAAAAAAAAAAAGCAAAACAAAACAAAACAAAATAAAGGCGGTAAATTTTTGTCACTCTAAAGTGGTACCAGCACCCTGATAATCATTCTCATGAATTAAATAAATTAAATCTGGGAAAACTACAGACAATTTGTGTACTTGGGGGTAGTCCAGTATTTAGTGAGAGTTCGGATAAATGTTTGTCGAAGGCAGAACATCTTAGGGGGTCAGTGCGACATGCCCTTCGGAAAATTCACATATTCAGGCTCAGAAAGGTAGTTTCCGACGTCTCAAACAGTCTCTGTTTTTAGTTTTTTAAAACGTGGACTACGCTTGAACATTTCTCAATTTTAATTGAAATAAATTTCATTTGACCTGCGGATGAAAATTACGTGAGGCAATGATTGTCGCAGATGTGCTGCAATATTCAAGCAATTGCTGAAAAAAGCGCGAAAAAAAATTAAGGTTTCGACGGAAAAGGAAGGCGTTTCTCATGTCCTGTTTACACGTGCACAACTGCATACTTACAGAGCTTATGCGAGCGGAAAAAGTGTTGATTGCACAGGGCATTATAATCCCAAATCATGAAACTCATATCTTTACAATAATGTCTAAGGTAAAATTTTGCTTTTTGCTGTCAATCCGATAGTGTGTTTTTTTGTTTTTGTTTTTTTAACAGAGGAGTGGACGATAGGCTGCGAGGGTCCTGGGCTAATTAGGTCCTCCAGACCTCCACGCGAAGTTTCTCTGCTCTCGGTCGTTATTTTCATGGAGCCTTAAAAAAAAAGAGAAAAGTCTTTGAATGCAACACGGGCTTCAAAGGAGTCTACAGCTTTGTTTTGAAATTTTTCGAATTTACACTTCTTGACAAAACCCGGCGAAGGCCCTTCTCTGAAAATCATAAAGCCAAGCTGTACTTCTCGTTAAACGTATCTGTAAAAAATATTCCGTCAACGTATTGCCGCCTGAACCGAGAGTTCAAATGTCAGATTGAAGAGAAAGACAGATTCCACGTACAGTCACAGAAACATAGAAAGACGCTCAAACGTGTGTTCTGTACACCCAATGTATTTCAAAATGAATTGTGAACAGATTAGATTACAACTAAACTTACAAGTATGCTAAAAATGTTTTGTGGTAATAAAAAGATGGTCTTTTGTTAAAAAAAAGTCAGCGGTTACACGTTATTATCAAATGATTAACTATCTCAAATTAACTGCCCCCTAAAAATATTTAAAAACATGGATCTATATAACTATTCATAAACTGTTTTAGAGTGAAACCTTATTCGAAGTCCACTTTTAAAAAATACTATTGCTACAAATGATATCTCTCCCCGGGAGCCGCTAAGAGCCATTCCCGTTTTAGTGGGCGTAACCCGTCTAGAATCTATGATACACCCAGCAAATGAGCTTACTAACCCAGGAACTTACTGCATGGATGGCTTTCGTTCCCAGGTCAAAAACCAAAGGTCACTTTTTCCCTTACCAGATTGATGGATTATTTCACACTCAAGAATGCTCGAGTTTCTGCAAAATGCTGAATAGCAACAAGACTGCATTGTGTGAGTTTCAATACGTTAAATGTACTTTATTTTGGTGAAATTTAAATTAAAATTTGACGATGCCGGGCATCTAAAAATAGTAATTTAACTTAACACAATACTCATATTTAAAATGATTGGCATTATTGCTAGTACTTCCTACATAACTCGATCTATAAAAAAATATATCTATTACACAGTAAAAAACTGTGATATAAAGTAATTGAACAACTATTAACTATTATAATAAATTGATGAAGAATTAATCAAAGCAAAAGTATCAGCTCCTTCATAAAGGTTTCCCTCAATTAGCATCTACATGTTTCTAACTGAAAAGCCTTGATAAGCATCAGAATCATCCATACAGCTAGTTTGTGGGCATATGCAAACAACCACAACACAATTTGATAGAGCCCTAAAAAAAAAAAAAAAAATGTCGGGTTCGAAATGCATGCAAAGCCTCGTACAACGCGCGAACAGCTGATCTTTCAGGCAATTAGAATAATGCAACTTTCCCTGCGCTTCGCGGTGATTGAACATTGGTTCAATCACCGCGAATGGTTCACAGCATGAAACGCGTGTGCTCGACATTCGAGAAGTTATTGTGGTCCGATGGAATTTACAAAACCACTGCTTCATCAAACCATATATAGATTTAATGGATGAAATTTGTAATTCAACATAAAAACTGACTTCTTCACCAAACGCTTCAGTAACACTTTAAAATTCTTCATTCTATACACTAACGGGGTATACAAAAAAATGTCATTTTTCGGTGGTGTCTGTGAATTAGAAAAATTCACAAATAGCAGAGCAATAATCTACACAATAATCTAAAATGAAACTAATATAATTAATTTTTAACTAACAAGCTTTTCCCTTTCAAACCAATCGACTTAGCTTACTATAAAAAAAACCCTTAATTACTAATGACCTTAAAGCCGTTCCTAAAAATTAAAAATGAAATAGTAAAAAGAAAATTTCACAGTAACCTACTAACTAATCAACACCAGAACGAAGAAAAAAATTATTTCGGCAAATTGCCCTTGACCAGGGCTCGACACTAGCGGTAGCCCACTAGCCACAGACTGGTAGAAATTCAGTTTCGGCGTGTGGTTTTCGGTTTCCACAAGCCAGCTTGGCTAGTAAACGAACTGACATTGTCTTACTATCTAAGATGTCACCAGCCACTTGGCTAGTACATTGAAAAGTTAGTGTCGAGCCCTGCCTTGCTGTTTTGCTATCTTACTGAAGAGCCATCAATTTGAAAATCTGGAATTCTACTTTGAGAGTCGACCACGACAAAACACATGTGATGTCTGTATTTAAATTTCTCGTTTGCTTTACAGCCAGCGCGTCCACTGATTCGCTGTCACGTAACTCTAACCCTAGACCAGCTTTTAATGTTGTGGAAAGAATTTTCACGAGTCTGTACCCACTGTTTAACCCTTTCACGAAAGCGAGCTGTATTAATCAAAATCAAGAAAACAAAGCAAAGAAAGTGTACACTATAACTGCTCATTCCCCACTTCCACTGAATTAAAGTATACGAAAAGTATTGTTACGGCAGAAATTACGACTGCAATTTCTGTCAACCCTAACAATACCTCTCTGCTAAGTCTGTGCGCTCTAAAAGTTCGCCTTTTAAAGCACTACTCAATACTCTGTAGGTTGCAGAGTTCCCTCTCTTCTGGGCCCAGTGTTTGAGCATCTGGTATCCTTTTTCAGGAAGTATTGTATAACAAGCATCGATTGATTCAAGTTTCGGATCTGCCACTTTTAATCGTCTTCCAAGAACTATCCACTTGTCACCAATAACTTGGCCCAAACTTTCCAACTCTATCATAGTTGGTACACCATTTTTAACTAAAATAAAAAAAGACAGTTTTAATAGCGCCAATTTCCCCGGTAGAGTCAAGTTACAAAGTTAAAAGTTGAATCATCGCTGGTCATATTTTCACAATATAACAAAATGATACATATGATGCACGATCCTCGCAGTAGATAGCGCTATTTAAGCAATAGCGAAAATCAGACCTGAAAAAAATCAGGCCTGTACGGGATTCGAACCACTGACCTCTGCGATACTAGTGCAGCGCTCTACCAATTGAGCTAACAAGCCAACTGGAAGCAGGCCGTTGAGTTGATCCGTAATAAACCCGTGAAAGTGATAAATATACAATGAAATATATGAACAAAATGAGCAAGGTGTACGGCCTATCTATACTTACAAAGTCTCAGTAGTTCAGCTGGCTAGTGCGACTTCTCAAGTACCTAGGTAACTCACGGAGGAACCAGCTCTCTTACGATTACCACCGTTTTTCTTTTTAAATCATGGAGCAGCTACCACAATAAGGGTAGTTGTACAAGGCTATTGTTTACTCGATGATAACTTCTGCGCGCTTCAATTTGTCCAAAACTACGTTTTGCCCGATGAAATAACGAAAAAGTAGTGTATTCAAAGGAAAAAGATATCTGACTAACTTTACGCAGCAGTCAAAGATCTGCGTTTGTGCACACGTCGAAACGACAAAGAGGTGGCACGACATCTTGCCCTCTGGCTGTTAGAAGTTGTTTCTCAGGAGTGATAAACAAGTTAGTCAACTGATGTAAATCGTAAAACTTGTTTTGGTATAGCTTAAAATAGAAGTAAGTCAACTCAACATTCGTTATCAGATAAATCTTCTGTTCGATAAGTCTCAGGCATTCCTCTCCCCTACTTTTGTCTCCTTTCACAGATTTCGATGAGCGTTTCAATTCTCTCAATTTTTCAAGTTGTTTCCTTCGTTTTCCTTTAAAAATTCTACGCTGGAAATTGACGTGGCGCATGCCAGAGGTGCCACTTTTGCGTATATCTTGCGTTTGACCGCTGAGTTGCCTTTCTGTGGTAGAAATAAGCTTAAATAGCTTTTAAATTGTATGCCAACTAAATAGGTGACTAACCATTTACCTTTTTTTCATATGTTTGTTGTTGTTTGATTTATCATCTACGGGTTTATATCGAATTAATTTGATGGCCTGCTCCCAGTTGGCTTGTTAGCTCAATTGGTAGAGCGCTGCACTAGTATCGCAGAGGTCAGTGGTTCGAATCCCGTACAGGCCTGAAATTTTTTTCAGGTCTGATTTTCACTATTGCTCAAATAGTGCTTTACTGCGAAGGATCGTTCTCATATACGTCTCATAACCGCAGTTCACACATATGTTTCATATGTTTGTTGTTGTTTGATTTATCATCTACGGGTTTATATCGAATTAATTTGATGGCCTGCTCCCAGTTGGCTTGTTAGCTCAATTGGTAGAGCGCTGCACTAGTATCGCAGAGGTCAGTGGTTCGAGTCCCGTACAGGCCTGAAATTTTTTTCAGGTCTGATTTTCACTATTGCTCAAATAGTGCTTTACTGCGAAGGATCGTTCTCATATACGTCTCATA